AAGAGCAAAGATGTCAGCTTGAAGACTAAGGTGCGCCTGACCCAAGCCATGGTATTTTCAATAACCTCATATGCATGTGAAAGCTGGACAGTAAATAAGGAAGACTGTAGAAGAAATTGATACATTTGTTATGGTGTTGAAGGAGAATATTGCAAGTGCCATGGGCTGCCAAAAGAACCAACAGATCTATATTGGAAGAAGTGCAGCCAGAGTGCTCCTTGGAGGACACGATGGCCAAACTTCATCTCTCATATTTAGGACATATTGTCAGGAGGGACCAGTCGTTGGAGAAGGATATCATGTTTGGTAAGGTGGAGGGTCAGAGAAAAAGAGGAAGACGCCCCAATGAGATGGCAACAATAGTGAGGTTGGCCCAGGATCAGGCAGTGTTTCGTTCTGCTGTGGATAAGGTTGCTACGAGTCGGTACCGACTTGATGGCTCCTAACAACAACAACAACAATAACTGTATAATCACAGAGGTAATCATAAAGAAGCCCATGGCCATGCAGTTAATAAATGGCAGAAGTGGGGTAAGACTCTACCCTTTACCACAGTCCACTGTTGTTGTTAAGTGCCACTGAGTCAGTTCCAACTCATAGTGACCCTGGGGTGTTCAAGGAGCAGCTGGTGGGTTTGAACCACGGTCCATAGTGTTCCATTAATATGGAGAAAGGACAATCACCACTCTGAGAGAAGGAAGGAATAAAGGAAAAACAGTTAAGGACTGAAGGGAAAGGAAAGCTAAGCTCCCTCCCCACCTAATTGTACTGAGAATGAAGGGCAGGAAGGGCACTAAGATTCTCTTCTGAGAATCTTAGGAAAGTTCTGGCCTGAATAGAAAGGGTAAGATCAACTCAAGAAGCTCACAAAAAATTCAGGGAAATGACAAAGACAATAAAAAGAATATTTCTTAAGTCTTAGATAGTGGTCGTGGTTATGTGCCTTGGGATTTTGACTCATAGTGACTCTGTATAGGGTTTCTGAGGTTGTAAATCTTTGTGGGAGTAGAAAGCCTCATGTTTCTCCTTGGAACCACTAGCAATTTCAAACTGCTGACCTTTAGGTTCGCAGCCCGACTCGTAACCACTATGGTACCAGAGCTCCTCTTAAGTCTTAAGAGTAAAATGAATTTCTGAGAACTAATGAATTAATTAGTTAACTAAGAATTAATGAAGGGTCACACCCAGACACAGCCTGGAAAAATCCCTGAATCTCATATTTAAGTAATACAATGCTATTCTTAAAACTGAATACTCCATGGTACAACCAGGACATAAATAATGAGGCTGTAGATGCATTGTGAGAATGGAACCACTGTCACTGAACAATTTTTGCAAAAACTGTTGAACAGCAAGCTAAACTGTTTGTAAACCTTCCCAGAAAACACAACAAAACATTATTTTTTTAAAAAATCAATGACAGATTGACAGAGGATACTTTTACATGGGTATTTGCATTTGCTGCCAGTATATCCAGAGAGCAGTGGCTCTGTATAGGAAGCACTGGACTGGGAACCACAAGGTCAATGGTTCAAGACCACCAGCTGCTCCATGGGAGAAAAATGTGGCTTTCTGCTCCCCCAAAGATGTACAGCCTCGGAAACCCCATACAGGTCGTTATGAGTCAGAAGCAAGTTGACGGCATTTAATAACATCGGCGTCAGGTAGCATATTCATGAAGGTGGAGGAGCATACAGGGGACAAAGTTACAAAAACTTTCAAGACTTAATTAAACAGTTTGAGACTACCAGCCACTCCGCAGGAGATAGATGAGGCTTTCTGCTCCGGAAGATTTAGAACCTTAGAAACCCTGCACAGATTCGTTATGAGTCGGAATCCACTCCAGGGCACTTAACAACAACAAAAACAAAGTTGCTGTGTGGGTTAAACAAGATAATGTGAAAAACTTTAAACTTCAAATGTTACAAAGTACACGTCTTACAAGTTAATTGCTTTTACTATTAGCATGATCCCACAATAAAACAAAATGACACTCAGAATTGTGGACAAAAGAATCTGAAAATACCAATAGTATCTATTTTTGAATAGTGGGACCATGGGTTACAAACTTTCTTAATAAATTTATCAAAATTGACAAGAATGTGATATTACTTTAGTCAGTGCAAAGAACAATAGAGGTATTTCAATTCTGGGGGGAAATATCTAGGGCTGAAGGGAGTGAGCAGGCCTTACAGTCGGAAATTTGTAAGCAAATACATAAGCTACTACATACAACTTGGGAAAGAGATTGCAAAGAAATCAGCGAGACTAAATGAGTAACCTTAACCTATTCTTCAACTTCACTGGAAAAGTATCTTCACTGAGCCACTTTAGCTGTCAAGATTGTTCTGGGAATAAACCAAAAACAGGAAAACAGTGTAGATCACATGAGACAATGTGTGCAAAGCAGACAGTCTGGGGCTGGTTCTAAGATTTTACCATAAATGTAAGAAAATGTCTTGGTCAGAACTTTCCAAAATCTCTATGTAGTATAAGTAATATGCAGTATTAGTAATAATACAATTTAACAATTTCTTGAGTATGTTTATTCTTTATTAATGTTACTCATTGTTTCCTTCCCCTTAACACTGCTAACAAATGTTCTTCTGTCCCAAAAATTGAAAATCAAAGTCCTTTCCAAGAAGAAAGTGACAAACAAAACTTACCTCTCCCATGATTTTAGATGTACAGCTGCTGTTTCTCCTCCTCTGAGTTCTTGGAAAAGAAAAAAAGGTGGCGAGTGTTTTAAAAATCATGAATTAGCAGTCCCTTTTTGGAGCCTGTAAGAGATCCAATTAGAACAATCCCAGGCACTGACAGGGAGACCAGAGAAGTCTGTAGCCATTTCCTTAGGGTTCCATGTGGGCATCTTGGGGGAGACTCCCAGACAGTGGCCTCTTTTCTCCATAGAAACCTAACTAGGGGTTCTTTTAGGTTCAGTCTCAGATCGGGTCTGTAGACCAGCTCTAAGTAGACCAAACTCTTGTCCTCCAGGCTGGGGGAACCTTTATGGGCCTGAATTTCCCTGCAGCAAGGGTGGGACCCCACAGCCCCAAGATGCAGAAACCAGAGACCGCCCTGGGTGCACTTTATTTATTGTGCTGAAGAGCTTTTGGCCTTGGCATGCAGAAGAGACTTGGCTCTGCAGCTCAGGGAGCTACTGAGACTCATAAAGTCCGGGTGTGAGACAGACAGGACCAGACCCTGCCTAGCGTCTACCTAAAAGGTACCAAGAAAGCTCTCCAGCTCCCTTCTCAGTTCTTGCCCCAAAAGTAGAGTCGGCGACGGGGCCACATGGGAGTCTCACAAAAGGTCCGGAAGGCCTCGTTTGGAAGGAATGAACCACAGGTGGCCGGACATTGAACGCCGAGTGCACACTCCACGTCCCGGGATGATTGCCCGGGGTTTCTGCGTGCAGCGAGCGCAGTAGCTGCGAGACGTCTGACCGCAAACCACACCCCGTGCAGGCTCGCAGCCCACCTCCCTCCACCGAGCGAGGGCGGGCGGTCAGGACACCCCCTCCTGCCCCGAGAGCGCAGCCCCAACACCCCCAGCCTTCCCGCGTGTACCACCATAACACCCAGCACCTTACCCGAGAGCACCCCAACCCCGTTTTATTTTTCACAAATGAAGGCGCTGTCTGGACCCATCCGACAGTCGTCCAGATTTGGTGGTCAACACAGAGCCCAGTACTGCCCAGACACTCCTCACTGTCCACTTCTCCCGAGTTCTAGCAGTGCGGCTTGGCGGAGCCCACCCCCGCACTAGAGATCTGGCCCGCCCCGGACGTCCAATTTCTTTGGTCCGAACTCCCGCCAACACACTAAGGCTAGCAAGCTGCTTGAGTCGGGAATGGCATTGACCGCAGAGGCCGGTGGGAAATGTAGTCCAAAGGAGGAAAAGTTTGTGCGGGGCCTGGAGGACACAGCCCACTTCCTCAGTATTCCAAGGTGAGACACCGCTCAGACAGCCTCGCTGCGCCAGTGCATACTCCGAGGACCTTGGCATATATTTCCCAATAGTTAAACCACTTCATGTGTTGCAAGGGTATAGATCAGATCATTAGTTACAACTGTCAAAACAATGTTAAATCATAGTTGTTGTTGTTGTTAAGTGCCATCGAGTCGGTTCTAAATCATAGTAGTGCTTTGTTCTTAAGTGCTATGCAGTCGTTCTGACTCATAGCGACCCTGTATAGGGTTTCTGAGGAGCAGCTGGTGAGTTTGAACTGCAGATCTTGAGGCGCAAACAGATCTTGCGGTCCAGTGCATTCACCTACAGCACCATACCAGGACTCCATTCTAGCGATTTAAGCATGTTTTAGTCTTGATTTTCATGGTTATGGTTTTATTACCTTCTCATTTAATATGAATGCTTACTTACTAGGTAAGACCGATGAATGTTATTATCTGTATTAGCTTCCTAATGCTGCTATGAAAAATAACTAAAAACTTAGTAACTTCAATTGAAACAAATATGTATTAATTTTGTATTTATGGATGTCCGAAGTTCAAAATGAATATTATGGCTAAAAGAAAATTGTCAGCAGAGCTCCATTCCGTCTGGAGGCTCTCCAGGAAATACATTTTCTTGCCTTTTCCAGTTTCTAGAAACCACTTGGTATGGCAGCGTAGGATAAGCACTCAACCTTGAATTGCAAAGTTGGCTGTTCAAACTCACCAACTGCTCCTCAGAAATCCTATAGAGGCTCACTATGAATCAAAACCGACTCGTCAGCACTTAATAACAACAGAAAACACATTCGTTGATTTATGGTCTGACCATTCATCGTCAAAGCACATTAATCTCTGTTTCTGCCATCCTATTTTCTGACACTGATCATTCAGACACACACAAAAAAAAGTCTAAAGGCGCAAGATTAGGGCTGAAGGGTGGATGAGAGAACGTTTCCCAACAAAACTCTCATGGGACAGCTCTTGTTACCCTCTAAGAATGAGATGTACAAAAAATATCCTAGATACAACTTTCCTGTTTTTTTTTTTTTTCTCATCTTTTTTGAAAGCATCCTAAGGAGACTAAGACAAGTGTATTACTGAGAGAATTTATCTGTAGCCATCAGTGACCACAGAGACCTGTCTAAATAAATTTTGTTTGGAATACACCCAGGTATGGACAAACTAGAACCCTAGTAGCAATACTGCTTGACCCATCCTCATATACCTGGGATTGGGATTGCTGGTAGTTCTGTAACTTTTTGAGGGACCACAGGGCGCTCTGGTAGTGTAGTGCTTACGAATCAGGCTGCTAATCTCACGGTCAGCAGTTTGAAACTACCAGCCATTCCGTGGGAGAAAGATAAGGCTTTCTGCTCCTGTGAAGATTTACAGCCTCAGAAACCCTGTACAGGGTCGCTATGAGTTGGAACCGACTCCAAGGCACATAACAACAACAACATGCCATTGTACAATAGCACCACCAGTAAGGAACGAGGGTTCCAATTTTTGCACATCCTCACCAACATTGTAGTGGGGTGAAGTGGTATTTTACTGTAGTTTTGAACGGCATCTCCTTAATAATGACTAATGCAGCCCTGGTGGTACAGTGATTAAGCACTTGGATGCCAACTGAAAGGTGGGCATTTGGAACCCACCATCAGCTCCATGAAGTCTGCTTCTGTGAAGATTACAAACCTTGAAAAGCCTATGGAGCAATTCTGCTCTGTCCTTTAGGGTCACCGTGAGTCACAATCCACTAAAAAAGTAATGTTTTTTGGTTAATTATAACAACGATATCAAGAATCTTTTCATGTTCTTGATGGCCAATAATATATCCTTTTTAGTGAAATGTCTATTCAGTTCCCTTGCCCCCCCTTTTTTTGTTTGACTGCGTTGTCTTTTTGAGTCCTAGTGCTGTAGGATAATCACTGGACTGCTACCTTTTAAGAAATAGCTAAGTGGTTATCTATTTTAGTTAATATGACCAAAAGACATCCAAACAATAAGATCAAATTTACCTCATTAGTAAAAATGATAAGCTCAGTTGTAATCTCCTTTCTATAGAATCTGTGTCCCCAAAGGACTTAAGACCAGCATCCTAACTAGGAGAGTATAGAAGGAAAAGTATTTTATTTAAAAGTGACCCTTTTCCACCTTTAATGTTAGTTTGTCTGTCACTTTGTCATACTGTGCTACCTGTGTGTTGCTGGAAACAATCGTAAGTAATATCAGCGGGGTTACCCATGGTGGACAGGTTTAAGCAGAACTTCTAGAAGAGGGAGAAGCCGACTACTTCTGAATGATTAGCCTGAAAGCCTTATGATGGCAGAAGAACATTGTCAGATATAGTGCTGGAAGGTGAGTCCCTCAGGTTGGAAACATTTCAAATATGACTGGGGAAGAGCTGAT